GATCGATGTTTCTCTCTCATCAATGTTTCTAGCTCTCTATCTCTCTCCCTTCCTCTCTGTAAAAAATCAATAAAATATATTTAAAAAAAAAAAAAAGATTGATAGGCTGAGTGCCTAACCATGGTAGGAAAGTAAAAACAGATTTATACAGTATTAGTGGCCCGGTGCACAAAATTCGTGCACAGGGGGGGCAGGGGGGTGTGAGGGGGGTGTTCCTCAGCCCAGCCTGAACCCTCTCCAATCTAGGACCCCTCGGGGGATGTCAGACTGCCTATGGCAGGGGTCCTCAAACTACCGCCCGCGGGCCACATGCGGCCCGCCTAAAACATTTATCCGGCCCACCAGGTGTTTTTGCCGCCGTTGTGTGCATAGGAATTTGTTCATAATTTTTTTTTAAACTATAGTCTGGCCCGCCAACGGTCTGAGGGACAGTGAACTGGCTCCCTGTTTAAAAAGTTTGAGGACCCCTGGTCTAGAGACATGGTAGAGAGGGAGGGGCCATGGAGGACTCATCTAGAGTAGAAGGTAGAAATATGTGGGGATTTTAAGTACAAACTGGCATTGCATTTGTGAATTTGGAGATGACGTTGGAAAAGGAAGAGAAGTCAGAATTTTATCATTCTTCAACACCAGTCTTATAGTAAGGGCAGCGTGTAAGGAAAGAGCCCAAGGGCGTGGGGATGGGACAGATTCGGGTTTGCTTCTCACGGCTGCCACTTTTCAGCCAGTCCTCAGTAAGTGCCTTGATTTCCTTCTTGGTAAAACAGCACCATGGCTTTGTCCAGAAGGACGTCCAGAAGGTCTCCCGGTCTAACTAGCATATTACCCTTTTATTAGTATAAATTACTAGTCCTCTTGCTTTTATGACCTTTCCAGAATCACTCAGGAGCCCAGGTGCCAAAGTAAACAAGATACATAGCATTGATCCATGGTTGAGATTGCTGGCCTGAGAGGCAAAGGAATATCGAGGATTCTGGAAAGGGTACTTTGAGGCCACAGCTAGAATCTTGTCATTGCCTAAAATTTCTCTACCTACCCATAATTCTTGATGGAACTTAGGGCAAGGGATGTATCTAACTTGTAGAGGAACAGCAGCAAAGATCTTCTAGTAGTAGCCATCTCACAGTGTTTATAGTCAAGTTTAGGTAAGCCTGCATTCAACTTGGGACAGAAAATTTCAAGCAAACAAAATATTACAAAATTCAGTTAAACAAGGACAAACTATTTATAAACCTATCATGTATACCATTAGGTTGCTAAATACAGGCATACCTCGTTTTATCGCACTTTGCTTTATTGCACTTCACAGATGTTTCGTGTTTTACAAATTGAAGGCAAGATCCTCCACCAGCAAAAATATTTACAAGACTCACTTTATTGCGGTGGTCTGGAACTGAACCTGCAGTATCTCTGAGGTATGCCTGTATAGTGAAGATCAAAATCATTGATTTTGAAACTCAGCTGAGGCTAAGGAATTTTTAAGTTCTAGAATGATAATAAGAGTTTGAATAGAGAACATGGTGTCAGAGTTGGCACAGTCATCAGTGAATATAGAGTAGTGGCCAGAGGTCATTAGATCATATAAGGAGGAATGGAAGAGAACTGTATAGATGGCAGTATTGTGAGCCTCAGAAGAGGAGATATTTATTGCATGAGAATCAAAGTCAAAATATTTTGTTTTTAGTAAGATAAAAATATTTTATTTCTAAAAAGTTAGGGCCTAGAAGCAGTCAAAATCCTAAGAGAAAGCAGGTGCTGACTCCTAGTTTTATGATACCAATAGCATAAGGGAATGAGCTAATATCCATTCAAAGAATTGCAAACAAAACGGTATCCCACGACTGCCACCCATAGTTGTGCAGTTGCAAAGAAATCCAGTCCATAGTCTACTTGCTAAACTGGGTCACAGGACCTTGTTATCCCAGATGAAGGGGTGCCATAAAACCACCAGCCCTATCTAGGGACTACTATGGGAGCTGCTTGTCCCTCCAGGGTGTGTCTTCTAATTTCACGTAGCTTCCAGTTGTATAGGACACTAAAGTTCTGGCAATGTAGTCAACATAAAGTTAAGACGAATAGGTTAAGGGAGTTCTTTAAATAGATAGTGGGTGTAAAGGGGTCTAGTGACATGGCAGTAAACTCAAAAGGAGCACAGTATAAAGGAAGGTCATTGTTGGATATATAAGTAAGGAGATAAAACACAAAAGAAAAGAGAGGAAAAAAAAAGCTAATGTATGTTTTTAATTGTAGAACATTAATAGGATCATGTCCTATTTTAAAAAGCAGCTTTGGCTATGGTGTGATAATATTTTAGATGTGATGAAAAAACCTTATTGACCATTTAAGTTTTTTTATGTACATTTGTTGTGTTATGTGCAAATATAAACTATTAAGAGAGTTAATGTATTATTATTTAGAAACCAATAATAAGATTCCATTAAAGAAATTTTGTTTCTGTCCTAGTAGTACCTTATTTCTTGACTTTGACATTTCAGGTAAAAAATAAAAATAGTGATAAAGTAAATGAAGGCAAGATCCTCCTTTCTGAAAAACAGAAAGAAACAAATATCCAAGAGCAGAATTCATCAGGTTCAAATGAAGAAAAATCCAAAGCTCATAAAAAATCAAACCCATATGGAGAATGGAAAGAAATTAAACAAGAAGTTGAGTCTCAGTAAGTACCTGAAATGTAATCCCACTGTTATTACAAGTATTTTATATCAAGTACTTCAATAAGTTATAGTAACTATTTGAAGGATAAAGTACTCATTAAAAGTATAGCTCATTTATTTTATTACTAGAGTGTGTGTTTTTTTCTAATATTTTAAAATATGAATCGGGTTATTTTAAAAAGGTAGTGATTGTTTTCATTTCTTCCAAAATATGACATTTCTGTTGAGCACACATTCACACAGTAGCTCAATTATGCACACATGAGCATTCTCACACTCATGATTATTATTCTATCTGAGAAATAAATATCTGCATAGTCAACAAATGCTGCATATAATACATCTAAAAGCAATAAAAAAAGTTCTGTTGCTATCTTCAAAATGGCTTATGACAAAGTTTTTAAGCCAGTTTAAGAAAACAACAGTTTTATCAATTGAACAAGATCATGGTGAGATGTTACCTGGTTTATATTTCTAACTTATGTGATCAAGTCAGTTATTGTCTTAGAAGCATTTACACAATGAAAGGAAAATCTCACTTTCAGCTTCACAGATTAGTGTTTCTTAACTGCTTAAAAAAAATCTTCAGGTGGGAAAAAAACTATCTTCTAATTACATTAGTTAAGCAGTTATTCTCTAAAACATTGCTTTGAAATGGTAATGAAAGATGACTAATCTAGTGATACTTGACATTATTTATGTTAAAATTATATTTTAATAAAAAGGTTGGATTTTTTCACAAGGTAAAAGTAATGCAAGTTTTGGACAACTTTATATACCTGTTCTAATTAGAAATGATTCTCTAGGGGTAACACACCGTTAAAATGGTACTAGGATAGATTCCGGGCACCATAGTGGCATAGGTAAATGTAGTACTCCAATCTTCCCACAACCACATCAAAATTACAACTAAACTGCAGAACAACCATCATTCAGAACTGCCTGAAATCTAGCTGAACAGAAGTCCTACAGCTAAGGATATAATGAAGCCACATTGAGACTAGTAGGAGGAGTGGACACCCAGAAAGGCTGGTCCCACTGATAAAAATTGGGAGAGATATCTCAGCTGTGGGGGTCCCCCTGAGGAGTGAGAGGTTCCAGTCCCACACCAGACTGCCCACCAGATGCTGCTTGTTTGAGAAATTGGGTTCCAGTAACACAAAGAGAAATTATCATAACTTCTGCCTGTAAAAATCAGTGGGGATTGTGGTTCAGTGAGCTGGAGGGCTGCTGGAGTCCCAAGCATTTCTTTTAAAGGGCCAGTGCATAGACTTTCTCAGCTCACTCACTTCTCCAGCACTGGGCCAGCTGCTCAAAAGGCACCAGGGTTATAAGGGGAGGAACTGAATTGTCTGCAGTCAGGGCAAGAGCTGGAGGGGCAACTTTCTCTCATACAGAAGTGCTGGTAGAATGGTGGCAGCAGGAGGGTGTTCCTTTTCTGAGCCCTCCCACCATAGATCCAGTAGGTGGGCACCATATCTGAGTCTCCATCAACCTGGCTGTCACCCTGGTCCCTGAGACCCAAACCCACCCAAATTGCAGGTCCACCCAAGCTGTTTGCAATGGCTTTTCCATATGAACAACTTGTCTTGGCTCATAACTTCAGACATTACTAAAATTTCTCAAACAAGCAGCATCTGGCATCTGTGTGCCCCTTACCTCATGCAAAGTTGCCACAGGCCCAGCACTAGCAGCAGCCAGCCTTGGTTCGCAGATTGGCCTCACTTCAGCACCTCCAAGCCCAGCACAAGTAGCAGCTATCTAAGAATCACTTTGTAAGTCATGCTGATGGCCCTGGGGGACAACACAGGCAGCAGCTGACCTTTGCCTGCACTTTCCGGGAGACACCTAAGCCAGCATACCTGGTGCACAGCATCAGACCATGTTGAAGCACCACCCAACTGCCTCCACAAGAAACACATTCAAGCAGCATACTCAAGAGGCTTCAGAGCCCTACTGAAGTAAGTCTTCTTCCATGGGGTGGGCCCGTGCACAGCTAATCCTCCAAGGTGGTCACAGCCAGTCCTTGATAGGCCTAGGGATAAATCCCTCCTGTTGATGTGCCGACAGCAATCAGTGCTCAACTACAACATGAGGGTGTACACCAAGCATGTCAAACTCAGAGGCTAACACAGGCCAAATAAACAAGGTTTAAGTTTATGTGGACCACAAAAAAACAAAAGCTTCAATTTTCATAGAAACGTAGGTTTATTTCAATAGAGACATGCTAAATACAAAAGGCTGAAATAAATGAGTAATTGTTAACATAAAATAATAGAACATTTTAATAAAAATTAATATTTTTTTCTTGAACATTAACTTACCGGACACTGAATAACTGCACAAATTAATAAGCGTAATGCAAATAAACCTACTTTTCTTATTCTCCCAAAGCGAAATATTTCCTGTTGCACACACCAAACAAGTCAGTATAAGACTAATGACGTGGCAATCGGCTGCTAAAATACTCGCTGCTAGTATTAGTGGGGAGAGATGGTGTGCTTGCGCGTAAGGGAAATGAATGCAACACAATTATAGTAAACAATCATTAGTGAACATTGTAGTTCATTATTAATAACTAGAGGCCCAGTGCACAAAATTTGTGCGCTAGGGGGTGGGGTCCCTCAGCCCGGCCTGCACCCTCTCACAGTCTGGGACCCCTCACTCCTTACCGCCCACCTGCTCACTCCTTACCGCTTGGCTCGCTGCTCCTTAGCGGCAAGCTCCTTACCACTCAGCTCGCTGCTCCTTAGCACTCCCACAGAGGTGGGAAAGGCTCCTGCCACTACCACAGAGCCTGGCTTCTGGCTGAGCAGCGCTCCCCCTGTGGGAGCGCACTGACCATCGGGTGAAAGCTCCTGCATTGAGTGTCTGCCCCCTGGTGGTCAGTGTGCAACTTGGCGACCAGTTGTTCTGGTCATTCCCCATAATGGTTGCTTAGGCTTTTATTATATTGATTATGTATAACAGGATGTTGTAAAAATTAAGTTACAAAATTTTTATTACAACATTTCTTACATACCATCATATTGGCTGGGCCACAAAAATACTTGTTGTGGGCCGCATGCAAGCTGCGAGTTTAACATGCTTGATGTACACAGCCCACAAGGAGTGCCCAGCTTGGGTGAACATGGAGGCTGTGCCACTGGACCACACAGGACACCTACTCTATGAGGCCACTCTATCAAGCCCAGGAGACATACCAGCTCTATCTAATACATAGAAACAAACGGGGGCAGCCAAATAGGAGACAAAGAAACATGTCCCAAATGAAAGAACAAAACTCCAGAAAAAGAACTAAACAAAATAGAGAAATCTACTAGATGCAGAGTTCAGACCACTGGTTATAAGGATACTCAATGGACTTAGGGGAATAGTAGATGAACTTAGTGAAAACTTCAGCAAAGAGATAGGAAACAAAAACAACTAGAAAACAAAAAAGAACCAGTAACAAATGAAGAATACATTAATTGAAATTAATTGAATACATTACAAGGTATCAACAGTGGAGTAGATGAAGCAGAAATTTGGAAGATAAGGAAGCAGAAAACACCCAATCAGAACTGCAAAAATGAAAAAGAATCCCCCAAAAAAGGAGGATAGTATAAGGAGCCTCTGGGACAACTTCAATCATACCAACATTTGCATCAAGAGGATGCCAGGAGAAGAGAGAGAGAGAGCAAGGAACTGAAAACATGTGAAAAAATAATGTGAAAAATTTCCCTAACATAGTGAAGGAAATAGACATACAAGTCCAGGAAGTGCAGAGTCCCAAACAATATGAACCCAAAGAGGCCCACTTTAAGACATACCATAAATAAAATGCAAAAAGTTAAAGAGAGTATTTGAAAAGCAGCTAGTTAACTACAAGGGAGCTCCCATAAGACTGTCAGCTGATTTCTCAACAGACACTTGGAGTCCAGAAGGGATTGGCAAGAAATATTCAAAGAGATGAAAAGGCAAGGGCATACAGCCAAGATTACCCAGCAAAGTTATTTAGAATCAAAGGACAGATAAAGAGCTTCCCAGACAAGAGAAATCTAAAGGAGTTCATCACCACCAAACTAATATTACATGAAATGTTATAAAAAGGTGTTCTTTCAGAAGAAGAAAAGATTTAAAAAAAATGAATAATAAGATGGCCATAAATACTTAGCAACAATTGAATCTAAAAAACAAATGAACAGAAACAGACTCAGATACAGAGAACATTTTGATGATTGCCATATGGGAGGATGTTGTGGGGATGGGTGAAAAAGATGAAGGGATTAAGAAGTATAGATTCGTGCCTGCCCAGTATGGCTCAGTGGTTGAGCATCAACCCATGAACCAGGTCAAGATTCAATTCCTGGTTCAGGCACATGCCCAGGTTACAGGCTTGATCCCCAGTAGGGGGCGTGCAGGAGGCAGCCAATCGATTCTTATTGATGTTTCTGTCTCTCCCTCTCCCTTCCTCTCTCTGAAATCAATAAAAATATATATTTTTAAATACTTTGAGAAAAAAAGAAGTATAGATGGGTATTACAGAATAGTCATGGGAATATAAAGTACAGCCTAGGGCAGTGATGGCGAACCTTTTGAGCTCAGCGTGTCAGCATTTTGAAAAACCCTAATTTAACTCTGGTGCCGTGTCACATATAGAAGTTTTTTGGTATTTGCAACCATAGTAAAACAAAGACTTATATTTTTGATATTTATTTTATATATTTAAATGCCATTTAACAAAGAAAAATCAACCAAAAAAATGAGTTCGCATGTCACCTCTGACACGCATGTCATAGGTTCGCCATCACTGGCCTAGGGAATAGTCAATGATATTTTAATAACTGTGTATGGTGACAGATGGGTACAAGATTCATCAAGATGATCACTTAGTAAGTTATATAATGTCTAATCACTGGGTAGTATACCTGAAATTAATGTATGTCAACTGTAACTGAAAAACAAAAAATGATTTAAAGTAAGGTAATTGTTACTATTATGAAACATTGAAATTGTATATATTAAATATTGGGAAATGTGTATTTAATACATATTTAATACAGGTACCATAAGTAAATTATGTATTTTGAAGTTGCAGAAATAATAGACTACATTACTTCAGACCTAAGTGACTTAAGTGACTTACAATAAGAAGATGGTCCTATTATACCAATATCTACTATTCTGCAAAGTTGAGATTTCTCAGATTTTGAGTATTTTTTTCTTGTGATAACTATATTCTAAGGCCATTCTTGTTAAATTTTAATCACTAAGCCAGTTTAGTATATGATGAAATATGTCTGACTCCCTAAGTAGATTATTACAAGGCAATAATTTATTGCTAAATCCTAATTTCTTAAGGATTTTTTCCTCTAAAAATAACATACATGTTTATTATAAAAGACTTTTTTAAATGAAGAAAAGCATAAAATATCCTATTTTGTTAAAATTTTATAAATGTTATTTTAAATTGCCATATAATATGTAGTCATTTAGATGTGCATTGATTTTACTCAGCCACTCTCTTTCTGCTGACATTAGGTTATTTCCACATTTTTTTGTTTTTATAACTTACTCTGATTATTATATAGATACTAGAGGCCTGATGCATGAAATTTGGGGGGGGGGGTCCCTCAGCCCGGCCTGCGCCCTTTCGCAATCCAGGACCCCTTGGGGATGTCCGACTGCCGATTTAGGCCTAAACTGGTAGTCAGACATCCCTCTTGCAACCTGGGACCCCTTGCTCCTAACCGCCCGCCTGCTCACTCCTTATCGCTTGGCTTGCCGCTCCTTAGCGCTGCCATGGAGGCGGGAAAGTCTCCCGCCACTGCCTCTGCGCTCGCCAGCTATGAGCCCAGCTTCTGGCTGAGCAGTGCTCCAGCTATGGGAGCACACCGACCACCAGGGGCCAGCTCCTGCGTTGAGCGTCTTCCCCTTGGTGGTGGAGCTGCCCCCTGGAGGTCAGTGCGCATCATAGCAACTGGTTGTTCCGCCGTTCTGTCAATTTGCATATTGAGGTTTTATTTTATAGGACTAGAGGCCTGGTGCACAAAAATTTGTGCACTCGGGGCGGGGGGTAGAGGGGGTCCCTCAGCCCATCCTTTGCCCTCTCGCAGTCTGGGACCCCTCAGGAGATAACGACCTGCTGGCTTAGGCCTGCTCCTGGGTGGCAGAGGGCAGGCCCAATCCCTAGGTGCAGCCCCTGGTCCAGCTCAGAGCAGGGCCGATTGGGAAGTTGGGGTGCTGCCCCCTGTCATGCACAGAGCAGGGCCCATCAGGGGGTTGGGGAGCTCCCCCCTGTCACGCACAGAGGGGGGTTGGGGCACCGCACCCTGTCACACTCAAGGCAGGGTCGATAGGGAAGTTTCGGTACCACCCCCTGTCACGCACAGAGCAGGGCCGATCAGGGGGTTGGGGCGTTGCTAGGTAGCCACTTAGTCTAGTTGGTTTACTGATGTTACCCCAGAACTAAAAACAGTGCCTAGCACATAATAGATGTTAGTAAGTGTGTTTTAAGTACATTAATTCATTTTTAAATTGTGGATTTTATCCTTTTCTTATTATTTCTTTAATTAGTAAATATGGTATGAAAAAGCTTGTGTCCCGTTGTGCTGCTGAATTATTTTATTTATAAAACTACTATACTGAGTCATGGGTTTTCCATGTACAAACTTTTCTGCAAATATTTTTTGATTTTTTTCTTTTGATTTTGCTCCCTATTTATTTCATTTCCTATCTGCTTTAGTTAGATTTTTAAACCCAGTGTTATATAATAGTGATGACAGTGGGCATTCATGTTTTGTTTCTGATTTCAGTGGAAATGTCTCTAAAATTTATATTGAGGATTATATTGACTGTTGATCTTAAGCCTATTATGTTATTTTTATTATGTTAAGGATGTGTGCTTTATTTCTGGATTCTTCAAGGATTATCAGAAATTGATTTTGATAAATTTCAGTAGTCATAGCTTTGATATGGGGAACAGATTGGGAAATGGTGGTCTGTAGTTTTGTTTTTCTTTATAAAATGAGTGATATCTTTATCAGGTTTGGATATTTGACTTATGCTAAATAAAAAGTGAGATAGCTTTTCCTTATTTAATGTTCTTGAATAATTTAATAGTTCCTCTGGGATTAGAAAGTTTAATAGAAATTACTAGTAAAAGCTGGTTCTGGAGTTCTAGGAGGGAGGTAATTTTTTTGTATCTTTCTTTAGTCTCTTGGTTACTATCTGTGACATTGGACAAGTTGCCTTATCTCGTTGAGCCTCAGTTTCCGCATTTGTAAAAGCTATAGTTCCCAACTGATTTCTAATTTGTTGTGTGGAATACATTAGAAAAGACAAATTAACACATATAGGACCATGTACTCACTTGGCACCTAGATCACCTAAGATTTCAACTATCATGTACTGCAGCTGCTGTTTTGGAGGAAAGAGCAGGGGGTGGGGGTTATAGCTTCAACTCCTTATAGCTTCAACTACTTATTCTTGAGTACTAATCAGTCTCAGTAATCTATATTTTCCCCTAAAATCTTGTATTTCATAAAGACTTTAACATTTAAAACATATGGTAATACAGTAAACTTTCTATAATTTTTGGCATTGCTTTTTGAGATATAATTTTGATTAGAGACTTCAATCCATTTAAATTTAGAATAATATCTGGATTTACCAGTGCCATCTTATCAATTGTTTTTTGGCTATGTTGTAGTTCCCTTTTTCCTTTTTCTTCTCTTGTTGAATTGATGTGATTATGCAGTGGTATGCTTTTATTCCCTTCTTTTATACCTCATGAATCTATTTTAGGTTTTTGTTTTGTGATTACCATGATGCTTATATAAAACTTCTTATATATATAAAACAGTCTATTTTACACTGTCTGATAACAACTTCAGTCACAAAAAAATACATTTTTACTTCTGTTTTATGTTTTTGATGTCAAAATTTACATCTTCATATATTGTGTACCTATTAACAAATAGTTTTAGCTAGTCTGGTTTTAATGTATTTGTCTTTTAACCTTTATATTAGAGTTAAGTAGTTAACACACAACCCTAATAGAGTCTTCGTTTATTCTGACTATATGCTTTGTATATTCTGACTATATACCATTTTGGGGGGTATATTTTTATGTTAGTAATTAGCAGCCTTTCAGTTCAGCTTAAAAACTCCTTTCAGCATTTCTTGCAAAGCAGAATAACCTCAGATTTTTTTTATTAGGGTAAGTTTTTATTGCCTTCATTTCTGAAAGACACCTTAACTGGCTAGGTAATCTTGATTAGCATTGTATTCCTTTCAACACTTGGAATATATCATCACATTCTCTTCTGGCTTGCATTGTTTGCTGAGATATTCTCTGGTAGCCTTATGAAATTCTCTTGTATGAGTAAAATTTTCTTCACTTGATGCTTTTAAAATTCTTTCTTTGTCTGAGATGTTAAACAGTCTCATTAAAATGTGTTTTGAAGATCTTTTTGGATTACAATTTTGAAGTGACCTATATTAGCTTCAACTTGATGTACAAATCTCTCCCCACTTTTGGGAAATTTTCACACATTATTTGTAAGCTCTGGGAGGGGCAGGAATTGAGCTGTGCCTCAGGAATTACTGACCAGGCCTGAAACATTGGCAGAATTCTCCATCTTCCATCCCTAATCTCTGTAGAACTCCTTTCTCTAAATAGGGAGGATATGTAGTTCCCAACAAGTTTTATACATCTAGCCCAGCCGTGGGCAAACTACGGCCCTCGGGCCGAATCCGGCCCATTTGAAATGAATAAAACTAAAAAAAAAAAAAAAAGACCGTACCCTTTTATGTAATGATGTTTACTTTGAATTTATATTAGTTCACACAAACACTCCATCCATGCTTTTGTTCCGGCCCTCCGGTCCAGTTTAAGAACCCATTGTGGCCCTCGAGTCAAAAAGTTTGCCCACCCCTGGTCTAGCCACTAAAAGTTAAACATAATGATCATTCTGGTCCATGTTCAAAAAGCTCAGGGAATGGAGTGATGGGTTTATTATGCTCATGTTAAACAGGTATTGATCTGTGGATTAGTCAACTGAATATTTATAGTAACCATATGGACGATTGAAGGGCTAGTTCCTTAGTAAAAGGGTGGTAGGCAAATAGCCGCATGGAGTCATTACTACACTAGGCCATTGAGATTCCATGGTTTTCATCTTGTGCTGTGTGAGCCCCCATAGGTCTTGTCAGTCCGTGGCAAAATCATTTTCCATAAATACATCTCACTTATTCACCTATATAACTGTACTGTTAATCATACATAAGCACAATCATTTCCTTAAACGACACATGTTTTGTGCGACAGGAATAAAAGAATAGATGGGAGTTTTCCTGGTGTGTCCACCTAAATAAGTATTTAGTATCTTAAATAATTTATTTTAAAATAGTTTCCTACTCTAACATGGCTAACTTCCCACTATTAGAAAGGTGATCTTGGGGCTTTGGTGGACCCACCAGTTATGTGAAAGTTTGTCTTACTCTTTGTCAAGTAATGGTTTTATTTTTATTTTCTATTCCAGTGAGGAGGTAGATTTGGAACTTCCAAGCACTGAAAATGAATATTTATCAACTTCAGAAGCTGCTGTTGGTGAGGAACCCAAAGTAGTTTTTAAAGAAAAAACAGTCACTTCTCTTGGAGTCGTGGCAGATGGAGTGGCCCCAGTATTCAAAAAGAGAAAAGTGGAAAATGGAAAATCTAGAAATTTAAGACAGCGAGGTGATGATCAATAATTGGAAAAGAGTTTTGGAACAGGATGCAGACTACACATCTTAAAAGCTTCTCTATATTATTTCTAAATACTTTCATGCTAAAAATTTAGATTTATTCTAAATGTATTTTATGTGAATGTAAAATAAATCTTTTTTTATGTGAAATTTATTTTTGTTCCTAAAATGGAAGCCTACCACCTTGCATTGTACTACAGTGTATTATGTTCAGTGTCTAAAAATGCTAATTGTCATAATATAAGATGCTATGTATCTGTTATTTAAAACCTAGAAAAGCAAGGCCTTTATTCCATTTTTACTCATATGAACATATTTACCCTGCACTGAAAATGCATTACTTTCATACACTGATATTAACTATTATCTAAGAAATAAGAATCAGACCCCATAAGAGAAGATTCACAGGCCATTGATAGATTCAGTTCTGAGAATCCTGTCAAAAGGCTGATTTAGGAAGTATATGCACATTGCCTTGTTACTCAACTTAAGGTCAAGGACCAAGAAAAGGACTACAGCTCAATTAGAGTGCAAATTGGACCACAGGTACAAATGAGTGTTTGCCTAGTTCAAAGCAACAACCATTGCTTAAGCATTTTTACTTTGAGCTAGGTATTATACTGTGCCCTGGGGATATAAAAATAAGGCATATCCCTATTCACAACTTCACATTCTAGCATAGTCCTTTCCTTCCAGTCATGTACTCTGTTTAGCAGTCTTATTTACATGTACTGGAAAATCTTTTTTAAGGTTTACTTAAAACTAGGTAGATGAAGGCTTGAACACAAATAGTAATGTCTCAGGCTTCAGTAAAAGATTTTAGTGTTCCCTTAGACAAATTAGACATTTCTTGTTTTCTAGTTAAGTTTCTTAAAAAATAGAATATTTCTTATTTAATCAATTTGAAATAGATACCTTCTCTTTATTACTCCAAATTCTTAAAATTATATTTTTATAAATTGTACAGTATTTAATGTTTGGTAGTAAATATTTGTCTTAAGGTTACTAGTATACATGTAAGAAAATGATAGATTATTAAAAACTTTATGAAAGAGAAAATTAGTATTTGGTTGTTTGTTTTTTTTTCTAATATCAGAGTCATCTTAGCATTGGAGAGCAAATATTTGGAGATTTGTTTTTCCACTTGTTCAATTTACTTATTTGGGCATTTCATGAATGTAGAGCATTGTAAAGAAGTATTTTAGGTTCTGTATAGCCCATTTGTCATCTAACTAAGTAATGTGTCTTGTTGCTTGACTCCTCAATTGGAAAAGATGGTAAGACTATAAATGCAATACTGCTATATTTTACCCACATTTAGCTTATACAAAATACACAATTGAAGACATTTTTAAAACTGCACCTCACTATGTAAAGTGTTTCTCTTTGATGCATTCTTTTTGTTTTTATTATCCTCACCTGAGGATATGGTTATTGACTTGAGAGAGAGAGAGAAACCTCGATGTGAGAGAGAAACATCAATCAATTGCCTTCCATATTCACACTGTCTGGGGATCAAATCCACAACCTAGGAATGTATATTGACTGGGAATCGAACCCACAACCTTTTAGTGTACCAGACAATGCCCCAACCAACTGAGCAACCTGGCCAGGGCTTTTTGATGCATTCTTTAACTACTTTACTTTTGTAATAAGACAGTATTAGAAGTTTGAAGGTAAACCTTAAACAAACTGGTTTTAAGGATTGCTTAGAAAAGACTTAAACACAAAAATTTTAGTAAATCAAATTGTAAAAAACTGTACTTTTCTATTTGTTTTGAAAGAATAAGAAAACATATCAACTTACCTAGAATTTTTCAAAAGTAAAACATTGGGTATGATCATTTCTGTCATTTCTATTTTTATATATATTTGTATATAGGTATAGATGAGAGGTTATAAAGGTAAAGTCCCAATCTCTCACCTCCTCCCCCATGACCACCGTGGGTGTTTTTTCCCCCTAAGCATGTTAACACTGGGTATATGTGAGCAACCATTATGACACTTGGATTTATGAAGTCTACTCTCTGGATGAAATATTCAAAGTTGAATGATCCAAACATCCAAAAGTGATTTTTGGTTTTTAATGCAGTTTTTATAAATCCTGAAAACTATACTGAGGGAATCATCCTATCTGATTTTTAAGTATTGAGAAACTATAATAATTAAAATAGTATGGTACTAGTTTATATAAGGGTATTATATAAACTAGAGTGTTTATGGTTGTTACTGTGCCATTACCACACTGACCTCACTATTGTGTTTTTATAGTATACTAGAGGCCCAGTGCACAAATTTGTGCACCAGTGGGGTGTACCTTGGCTTGGCTTGTGGGGATCAGGCTGAAACCGACCCAGTGCACAGATTCGTCCAGGGTGTGTCTGGCCCTTCTCACCCAGTCCCAATCGGGGCTGGCTGGCTGGGAAGGGACTGCGGGAGGTTGACAGGCCAGGGAGGGACCACAGGAGGGCTCCAGGGCATGTCCGGCCCATCTTGCCCAGTCCCGATGGGCCGGACCCCAGCAGCAAGCTAACCTACCAGTGGGAGCATCTGCCCCCTGGCGATCAATGTGTGTCATAGTGACTGGCCAAATGAATGGTCGGACACTTAGCATATTAGGCTTTTATTATTTACTAGAGGCTCCGTGCACAAAAATTTGTGCACTGGGGGGGGGGCCCTCAACCCATCCTGTGCCCTCTCGCAGTCTGGGACCCCTCAGGAGATAATGACCTGCTGGCTTAGGCCTGCTCCCGGGTGGCAGAGGGCAGGCCCAATCCCTAGGTGCAGCCCCTGGTCGGGCTCAGAGCAGGGCCGATGGGGGAGTTGGGGCGCTGCCCCCTGTCATGCACAGAGCAGGGCGGATCGGGAGGTTGCGATGCCACCCC